AACAAAGGATGCACCAATCTATGCCCGGGTGTTTCCATGAAAGTTGGGAATCGGGGAATTCAGCAAACAAATGAAGCTGTTTGTGCAGCGGTGTTTGGAAAAAGTTAAAGGGATATATGATGACCGTCTATCTGATTCTAGCTGCGACTTATCTTCACCGGCAGCCAATAAACACTTTACTACTTACGCAATTCCTTCAGCATACTGAGATGCTTCTAGATATTATGCCAGTAGTTGATTGTATTTCAAGGTTTCACGGTTTTGATCACATACACCACGTCATCCGTTTCTAGCATGCCTGGCGCTAGTCGGTTGAGGATTTGGCGCTTGAGCTTACTTCGTCCATCTTGCTAACATTCCAATTCATAATGAATGTTATTCAATTATAAATATATATATATAGCGGCAGAGCCTATGGTGCGCTGAGGCTGGTGGTGGCTAGATCCTGACAGATGGTCTACCCACTGCTGCTACTGTTGTGCCATTTGCTCATGTCCTGGGCGCCCCCTCGTGGCGACCGCTGGGTGGGAGTTGGGTTTCGCCCTTCTCCCTGCTAAGATCCAGGACACCAATCCGCATGAGTCAGCTAACTGACCATGTGCTAAACCCGCTGCCTTTCGGGTGTTCATTTAATCGAAGGCTTTGGCTGAGGACCCGAGTCGTTCTCCTGTCAGGATTGGGCGCCCTGGCAGTATCCTAGTCCATCCTCTTCGGAGGTTAGGAAGTGGTCGATGACCCACTTCCCGTAAAACCTAGCCATGGGAGACAACAGGTTTACGGGTTATAATCTCACAGCTCGATTGGCGTAGAGCACGAGAGGCCACGCATTGTTTCTGACGGTGGGAGGACACCTCCGGGTGTTCAATGGTTTGATACTGCCCGCCTCAAGCCAGGCAGCCCCTGGTCAAATTGGTGCAAACCCGCCAAAAACCCACCTGCGTCTGGCCGTGATCGCAGGTGCGCATCCTACTACGGTCGCAAAACATATAATAATTGTTCCAGTACCTCAAAGGCTGCGTGTGACGGCCGTCAAGCAGATACCAATCTGTCACTGCAATCACATTCCCGAGCTGGATCTGCTCTCCACTGCCTTGTGGGTTAGGCTATTGAGCCAAAAGCTCCGGGTGGAGTCCCCCAAGCAAGCCTCCAAACCACCCACTGCCTTGTGGGTCAGGCTATTGAGCCAAAGGCTCCGGGTGGAGTCCCTCAAGCAAACCTCCGAAGGACAACGACCACCTCGCGTGCGATTGCCCACCAATGCAATCGTATGCCTGCGCGCAAAGCACTCAGCATCGGGTGCTGGAACGTGCGCACAATACTGGACCGGAACTCCAGCGAGCGCCCGGAGCGACGTACTACATTGGTCGCGATGGAACTGGCGCGCTACCACATCGATATTGCGGCGCTCAGTGAAACCCTGCTCGCTGAGCAAGGTAAGTTGCATGAAGCAGGTGCTGGCTACACATTCTACTGAGTGGGCAACGCCGCCTCAGCACCACGTGAACATGGGGTCGGATTTGCAATATCCGATCGCCTCCATGGCCTGCTGGTGGGTGAAGCAACAGGCATCAGCGCGCGACTGATGACTTTTCGCCTACGACTCGAAAGAGGTAAGTTTGCCAATTTCATAAGCACGTACGGTCCGACCATGTGTTATCCTGATGACACGCGGGATCAATTCTACACTGAACTACCCTCCGTGATACGGTCTGTGCCGAGGAGCGACCGACTATTTCTGCTGGGTGATTTCAACGCGCGCGTTGGGTATG